ACAGTTTTCATAAAATTGTGTTTCCAATGGCAATAAAAATTTAAGACTGATGAAATTCAACAGTCAAAAAGCTATAAGAAATCATAGCCTGTTCTAAATACTTGATAAAATTTCAAAATAAAATCAGAATTTATATTACGCATGTTTCCCATTAAATCACAAGGTGAATTAATTTTTAATTTGACTTGTATATAAACTCTTACAGTAATAGACATAAGTACAAACATAAACATACTAGAAAATATATAATATATATATAAAAATTATATAATACACTTGTCTACATTTGTGGGAACATCATAAAATTCAACAAGATTCATGGTAAGATGTGACAGCAGGAGAATAAAATCAACTGCCGAAATGTACAACAAAAAAACCAAACATACTGAACAGGAAAACTAATGGGTTAAAAACTACCCTGGCACAAATATTGTTATTAATGAAAGATGAAACAAAAATTAACAAGAAAACCTCACAGGATTAGTGATAACTAGTCCACCTGTCTTTCCCTCTGCATGTTGTAAACTGTCCAAACCCTTTGTCTTCTTCCTGAAAATGTCCACCGCCTACAGTGGCTAGCATCGCTTTACAAAGAGCTGATCAGAAGCATATCACAAATTTTTTGCCCAGGACATTGTGTGTTAGGAGATAGGCAGGCTGATAGATTGGCTGCTGCTGGTACTCTGGGCGGTCAGCTACTTTATGATAATCTAGACATGGTGAATACTCTCTGGGATCAAGTGAATAGGGTATATATCATCATCATGTGCCCTGCCAACTGGCGTAGGTGCTCATGCATCTCCCCAGATCACCATCCCTGGTTGCCTGGATCAGCTCTCTTGATGATATACCTCTGTGCTTTCATTTCAGCCCATCCAGCATCATCTCATTTGGTCTGCCTCTACCCCTTTTTCCACTAATCTTTCCAGTTGTCACAATGTTCTCCAATGTCTCTCTTCTCGCTATGTGGCCAAAGAAAGTTTGTCTCTTTCTTATTGTGTTGTATATATATATATATATATATATATATAAATAAAATTCAACCAAGACTGTACAATCATATGGCTAATAACAACACGTGGCAGCTAGAGCCATAAGGTTGGCTGTGAATTTTTGTCCTTATATATGTTAAGGGAGGCGTCTCAGTAGTGTAGTGGCTACACACTCGCCTGTTGGCTGAAGATTTTGGATTTGAATCTGCATCAAGGTGGATTCCTCTGCCCTCCCCCCTCCCCCCCCCACCACCCAAAAAAACTGACCTTAGTTCTTCAGGTCGACCCAGCCTAAAAGTGATATCAGGAAGCAAAGGCGGCCAGTGTGGTGTTGATCACATTATATACTGAATGCAGATCGGGCTGTAAAAATATATGTCTATACACTTTTAGACCAGCAGGCAAATAATCACACTCAGATACACACACACACATATATATATACATACACGTATATATGTAGTTGCAAGTTTGTGGCTGTGGTGTGTTGTGACAAGTTTCTTAAACAAAATAATGTATGGCAGCAACAATTTAATAACATGATAATGTGGAAACAGTTATAAGTTAATTTATAGAATTAAACAGATGCAACTTAACTCCCGACCACTACCACCCCCCCCCCCCCCCCCAAAGGCACACATGTCCCACCCACCTGCACGCACGCACACACACACACACACACACTGAATAAAATACACAAAACACTCCCACCCACCCAAAAACATAACAGCTAAGTAGCTAGACGCTTGCTGTCAGCACAAAGGCCTTGGATTTAAATCCATATCACACCTGTGTGGGGTTTGGGGGGTAAGAAGAAAAGACCCACTGACACTCCCCCTCCCCCACAGCAAACATGTTGTAAAACATCACTTAGGGGTTCCTACAAAGTTTGAGTGCATCTGCCTGAGAGGCAAAGAATCAACAGTCTGTGTACAAATAAGACAGATCTGTAAAATGAATGTGCATGCAAGGCTGAAGTTCTGGAACAAGACCAAAGTCCAGAAATGGATGAACAACCAGAAATGTCTACCGGAGTTTACAGCCTGTGAAAGCTAAGAGGAGAAGGAAAGTTTGAGGTTTTGAACAATGGATCAACATCATTGCACACGGGTAGTAACCCATTAGTGCTCCGTTCTTGTAACTCAAGTCTGAGTCCAAAGAAGCTCAACATAGTGCACAGGATCTGTAGCATTGGAGAGGATGCTGAAATACTTTGGGTAGATTTTTAACTCAAAATTTTGCCCAGGCAGCGCCGTTTGGCTACTCTTTTTGATTTCCAACTGCCAAGGTGGTTTTTTTTTTACATGCGCAACAATGCATGCAGGCATCCGATCTCACTACCAGGAGACCAGGGGGAATTACTAGAAGTCCAAGTCTACATGAAAAACTCCCATCCCTTACAGGGGATTGAGACCGGAACCTCTAGCACTCGAGGCGGACACAATGCCTCGAGACCACACAACCCCCCTAGAGGAGGAGGAAGAAGAAGAAGAAGAAGAAATGCACACCGAGACGGATTTTTATAACTCATTCAGTGCTCCCAGACCAACCCATCCTGAAGTGGGTATGAAGAAATTACCTGGAAAATAAAGGAGACTGGCAGGATGTTGATCATATCACTTATCACTCACCAAGCGTTCCATACAAATATGGTTAAAACCATAGTTTCGATGTACCTGTAGCATTTAAGAGTCCTTTAATGTTTAGTCTTGCCCAAAGACACACGCACATACAAACACCCACACACAAGCAGAAGATAAAACAGATAAGTACTCTTAAATCCTAAATAAATAAATATTCTTAAATCCAAAATAAATAAATATTCTTAATAATACAATTATTCAATGAATTTGTGTACTATGTCTACAATGCTCAATCATAAAGTGCAAATCATATTCATGTATAATACAGACTCAATTATGCTTCAAAACTGTTTAGTCTAAGTGGATTGTATAAATATTCTGCTAGCTGGATATTCTTGCAAACTACAAATATTCATTAACTGGTGCTTGTGCAGAACAGAGTGAATTAAATGTGGAGCTTTGGGACAGATCTCTTCCAGTGAGGAAGAGGTGAGGAGAATATGCTGGCCCTGGATAGGACACACAGTGCAAACATCCAATAGCAATTTAACTATAATGTCTTTGCATTGGAACCACAGGGCCAAAAGAATTAAAAAACCACATGCAAAAGGGAATCAAAGAGCAAAATGAAAATGACGGGGAGGACATAGGGTGAGCTATATGGCACAGCAAAAGATAGGACGACGGCATGAGCCTGTTAATGATCTATGGTTGATTAGGGAATTAAGAGCTGAAGAGAAGCATGTACCTTGAACAGTGGCTCTCCGGCCTACTCTTTCTTATTACCAACTGCAGAGACGATTTTAAAACAAAAATTATTATTCCTCTAGTGAAGTGTCTTATTGTAAACTGTATATGATTAACATACTAAATTAGTCAGTACTAAAAAACAAAAAAATTGGTTGAGTTAAGAACCAATACCATAGTACTCTGGATATTCTCATAAGCAACCCGTCCCTATTATCAGGAGCAAGTGCAGAGTTCTAATTCTGATTTTACTATCCGTCTTGCCTTCTCAGAGTATCAAGTATCAGATCCCCTAGCCCCTTCTTGCTGAATAATTCTCTTCAGACCATGAGCTATTTATGCTTCACATAGCAGATGCTGCAGTTGGTATGCAAACATGTTAGACCTTCATATTTTCTAGGCCAGTGTTTCCCAACCTTTTCACATCCACTACCCACCAAAATAGGGGGAAATTATTCTGTGACCCATCCAACAGCTGATGAAACACAGAAATACAATTGACATGATAAAGCCACACTCATTTTGCAGGAACCATGCTGCTGCATGAGTTTTGTCCTTATTCCCAACCCAGACTGGACTAGGGGTTAAGTAAACTTGGGGTGCCCTAATGTGACTGTTTTATGTGGATGAATAGGGTTTCTGGGATTTGTGTGTATTTAATTCTCATTTTTGAGGTAAAAGGTAAAGGTAAAGTTGGGAGATGTGAACCAGCGTCACTGCACACGGTTATAAACCATAAGTACTCTGCCACCAGTACGGACAGCCGATAAGAAACTGTCTGCCTGTGTGGCCGTCCGCACGTAACTCCATAGCTACAGCGACGTTCCTCCATTTACCCCAGAGTGTCAACTCTGGTACCCATTTCCTAGTGGCTGGGAACACAGAAGAACACTGCTCTAGGCCACAACATATGAGAGAAGATGGTCAGGTTCCCTGCCAAGTCACCTTACCCTTCCGAACAATTCCAAGAAAGTTCTAGAAATTGTCTCGTACTCTATTTTTTAAAGACTGGGTCAAACCCATAGCTGTACTGTTGTGAAAAATAATTCCTACTATTTCCGAGGATTGAACCCATTTGGCTAGCTCTAGAGCGGTGAGAATCATTACTCTAAATGCCCTGAATATCCATATTATCATCTCTGCTTATTTTCTTGAATGGTTAAGAAAGCTGTGCTCCCATTCGGGAGACACAGGTTTGAATCCTAGGTAAGGAATTGTTTGTCTGGGTAAAATAAAAATGTTACCATGCAGAGTCTGTGCAACTGCACTTGCAATGCTGCCTTATATCTTCAGGCTCAAAGATCACTCCCCCTCCTCCACCCCTTTCCCCAACACCACCTTAAAAGGTGATCAATACAGGCAGTATTTTTTGTAAATTTCCTTCAAGAAACTAAAAATACAATAGTCCAGGAAAAATAACTGGCTTTAAAACAGACTATCACAGAAAAGAAGAATAGCACACTGTTCAACTCTTTCAGTCCTAGGGGGTTTAGCATCAGAGGCTCAAGGGTAGAAAGAAGGGACATAAAATCAGTGCATCTTGCCTTCACTGGGCTTCAAGGTGAACGTTTGATGTTTTCCTTGGGACTGAAAGAGCTCATTTAAACTACATGTAATAAAAAACATTATCTATTTATCCCAATAAAAAAGTTAACATAATGAATAAAGCAATAATACCTCATAAATCAAGAAATCCCCATGCAAAAAGGACATTCCCAACAGCCAGACCAATATGCAGAAGGTCTACACGATAGAACCAACTTAATTTCCCTTCTGACCCAATTACTTTACTGGATGCCACATACACAGCACAAGCTAGAAGAGCATAAATATTATACGACCTCAGTGCCACAATCACAACAGTCAGCAATCCAAACCCTGCGCAACTTTGTGTGGCCAAGTGCCGCATGCCAGGAGCTAGGAAGCGGCAGCCAATCAGCACAGCAACCATAATCATCAGGTTGAGGTTCATCATGACTGGCAGATCTTTGTGGCAGACGCCAACTGCAAGCAAGGGCATGCCAACAACCTTGCAGAGAAGAGACAAGACATTACAAATTTCAGCAATGAATGGCATTACTTGGTGAGAATCTTCTTCTTTGTGTTCACCAGTTGTAAACTCTGGCAGAAAGTTCTGGTTGTTCGCCCACCTCTGGACTTTAGTCTTGTTGCAGACTTAAATGCTGCATGCACATCTGTTTAACAGATCTGACTTATTTGTATACACTGCTAGTTCCTTGCTTCTCAGGCAGACCCACTCCGATTTAGAAGGCAGCCCCCCAATTAGTCAACTCTTACGACATGCTGGCTGGGGAGACAGTGGGTCTGTTCTTGTTTTCCCCACAATGGGACCCTGGAATCCACATGGGAACTTGGTTTGAATAAAAAGTGTAATCAATTAGCAATTGAAAAAAATAGTTGACGCTACGTTATTAAAATACAGTGTGTAATCATGAATACAGCAATGCAAGAATAGTCAACATTACTTGACTAGAATTAGAAGAGCACTCCTTTAGCAAAGAAAATAGCTGGCATTACCTGGTTACAAAACACACAGTACACATTTGTCAAAGAAAAATATTTGGTAGTACTACATTAAAATAAAAGGTGTAATTTTACTTAACAAAGAAAAACAGTTTGTATTATTTCATTAAAATAATGATGTAATTATTTAGTAATTAAAAGTAACATTCAATAAAAACAAATTTAACAAAGAAAACATTAGTTTTAACAATAACCTCATACTTCTTCTTCTTTTTACTCTCCTTGCCAGTGGTTTTCAGATAAGAAGGCTACAGGCCTCTATGAAATTTAGCTTGTGGTATGATGCATGTCTTCCATTGATCCACACAGGTTGGTTTCCATCAAATGCCAACTGGCCAAACCTGGGATGTCTCTGCTGCATGTAGAAGGCATGTCTATAGTATATGTTCACTATTCTTTGGTGCCTTCTACATGGGCAAATCTCTGAATTCTAAGGCAAAAATTTCAAGTGTAAACACATAGGGCTGCAGAGTCTGTTGTGTTCAGTATGCAATCTACAACCTCATCAATGATGCACACCTCATACATGATGCAGACCTCATACATGACGCAAACTTCATACATGACACAAATCCCATACATGATGCAAACCTTATACATGGTGCAAACTTAATACATTGTGCAAACGTCATACATGATGCAAACCTCACACATGGCACAAACCACATACATGACAAAAACAAATACATGATGCAAACCTCATACATGACGCAAACCTCATACCTGATGCAAACCTCCTGCCTGATGCAAACCTCATACATTATACAAACCTAATACATATGAAACCCTCACCTGAGCCAACCATGATGTCATCAGGTGATAATCATAAACTTGCCCTTCCGGTCGGGACTGGGCAAATCGAACAACTCCGAAGGCAGCAGCAGCCCCCTGGATCCCCAGCCCAATACAAGCGAAGAAATTCACCCAGAAGATGTTGTAAATGAAGTACAGGACAGATATTGCCAGCACTGCATCAGATGCTGAAGTTGTCAGCTGTCTGGCCATTTCTAAATGTCTGTAAATATATTTGTTCACAAGCTCTTCTTTAAGAACAGTGTTGACACAAACTATGTTCAAAAATTTAACACTTAAGAACAGTGTAGACACAAACTATGTTCACACATTTTAAACTTAAGAACAGTGTAGAAACAAACTATGTTCACAAATTTTAAACTTAAGAACAGTGTAGAAACAAACTATGTTCACAAATTTTAAACTTAAGAACAGTGTTGACACAAACTATGTTCACAAATGTAACACTTAAGAACAGTGTAGACACAAACTATGTTCACACATTTAAAACTTAAGACCAGTGTAGACACAAACTATGTTCACAAATTTAAAACTTAAGAACAGTGTAGAACACAAACTATGTTCACAAATTTAAAACTTAAGAGCAGTGTAGACACAAACTATGTAAACAAATTTAACACCTATGAACAGTGGTGACACAAACTATGTAAACAAATTTAACACTTAAGAACAGTGTTGACACAAACTATGTTCACAAATTTAACACTTAGGAACAGTGTAGACACAAAATATGTTCACAAGTTTAAAACTTAAGACCAGTGTAGACACAAACTATGTTCTAAAATTTAAAACTTAAGAACAGTGTAGACACAAACTATTTTCACAAATTTAAAACTTAAGAACAGTGTAGACACAAACTATGTTCACAAATTGTAAACTTAAGAACAGTGCAGACACAATCTATGTTCACAAATTTAAAACTTAAAAACAGTGCAGACACAAACTGTTCAAAAATTTAACAATTAAGAACAGTATAGACACAAACTACAGGTTTTGAAAAGAAATTAATTCTATTATAATTTATATTCAAACATTTTCTTCTTCTCAGCGTTCACCAGCTGTAAGCTCTGATAGAAAGTTGTGGATGTTCATCCATGTCTGGACATTAGTCTTGTTGCAGAACTTGAATTTTGTGTGTACATCCATTTTACAGAACTGACTTATTTGTACAAAGAATGCTGTTTCCTTACCTCGCGCGAAGTAGCAGTTCAACTTATGTAAACAAATACAGTGGATCCATTCTTTTTTTAAACCCCTAAATAAGTCTGCAGAACCCACATAGGGTGTACATTAAATCGTTATTATCATCATTACCATTATAATTAATACTGTGCAGTGCCAGTGGATGTTGAAAGAAAATTGGTACAAGAGATGGCTATGGAATACATACATCTAATAAAGGATAAATTCCTGATTAACACAGAGGCTCCAAAGGAAAAGATAACAAGCCTGAAATTGAATTATATATTTCGCAATGGAAAAAAAAAAGAGAAAAACTCAACATACGTGATAATCTACCAATTGTCACTGCAGAAATTATTGCTGTACTCAGAACTATTGAAATGGTACATGACAACCCTTCAAAACAACTGACAGTTTTAAAAGAATTCCCATCTTCTTTTCAGGCTTTACAAAATTCAAAAATGTGTAGCAGACCAGACTTAACAGAAGAGATATCTCTGGCTACCACATATCTAAACAAACAAGGATGTTCAGTGCTGGTTGTATGGATACCAGTTCATGTGGGAATATATAATGAAACTGCACAGGGAGGCGAAAAAAGGCAGATTCAATCAAAACACAGTTAATATTATGAGCACAGGAGACATCAAATCATTGATTAAAAAATGTATATTAATAACATGTCAAGGCAGATGTTGCCAAGGCCCTTGGAGAACAAGCAACGGAATTGGTAGAGATAGAAGAATATTATGGTCTGGAGAGAATGAGGCATCTGGGTGTAACCAGAGGGTCTGGCCGGCTCACTACACGTAGGGGAAAGGCAAGAAAGACGGGTACCATCACTATTGATAGTGTCATTACCATGGCTGCTGAAGATAAGGACAGAGCATGCACGGAAATGCCCCGAGTGCTGTGATTTCTTTTCTTGACTTAACTCAAAATGTATATTAGAGGAATAGTCCGTGAATTAGGGCCACAGCCTAGAGTTATTAAATCCGCCTAAGAGACAAATTCAGATAACAAACTTAAAATGCCATGTAATTGTAAATCGCTTAGACTACAACTTAGACGGTCTTGCTTTACTCTACAGGAAGAGACCTGTAATGTATGCCAGAAACACAATAATAGGTTAGTTGCCCCTGGCTGTTGTGTGGTTTTTCTAGGCAAATTTACATACAGTAGTTTGCCATTGCTTTTTGGACAGTCGGCTTTCTTGATACCACTGTCGAAACCAACGCAAGGCACATGGCCTGCAGCTGGGATCAAACCCGGCATCCCGGCATTACGAAGCGTTCACATCGACTTAGCCACAGAGACGACTTCAGATAACAGACTAACTTAAAATACCATGCAATCATAAACTGCTTAGACTACAACTTGGATGGTCTTGCTTTACTATACCGAAAGAGACCTGTAATGTATGCCAGAAATACAATAATACAAAGCACTATTTGCAAGAGTGTAGGAAATATTAAAACCAAAGAAAACCATTAACTGACTGTGTGAATCTCCATAAATTACATTATGATCATGGAAAACTGACTGCACATAAACAGCCCCAGAGAGCTGCATGGCAAGGTCAAGAGATTTATTACTAGGACTCAAATCCATATATAGAAGGATAAAGAATGCCCATGGCATCTTTGAAGAAGTTTCCCCTAAAGATAAACTCAAGGAGAATAATCAATGAAGGCATCATACGTTCATAGGTTCCTACCTAGAAGCCCAATGAACGCATGATGCGCCCATTTTATTACTTTCTTTACTACCCCTGGGCCTGTGATGCTAAACCCCCTGGGACTCAAAGAGCTAAGGAAACAATATATCCGCCATGTTAATGACACACAGTTAGTAAGATTGTCTAATTATTCAAAGTATAATTTCTATCATAATCACATCCCAAATCACATAGTCATATAAATATTTACAAGATATATAATTTTTAAATAATATATATATATACTCTGAGAACTCAACTATAAATTCCAATTATAACCCTGAGGGCTGAACAGGATATTCTAGAAAAATTACTACTACTACTACTTAAGAAAGAAAGACCATGTAAACAATACACTGAAGGAATAACATATCGGAAACACCACATAAGAAAAACACAAACAGGCATTTTCCTATTGTTTATATTTGCATCTTGACACAAAGTATGAGAGGGTCAAGATGAAATGAGTCAGTTTATATTAAAACCAGCAATGATGGTCAGTTAACTACGAATTTACAGAAAAAATGAGTTTTTCATTTTGATGCCCAATGCAGATAATGAACACACAGCAAAAAGTGGCCACATAAAAGATGGGGAACAAAATAAAAGACACTAGGAACCGCCTAAAAATAAAGACAAACTTACACAGCATACCAGAAAGAAATACACAGAAATGCTTTACAACAACTCTCCCCCCCCCCCCCCCAAACCCACCCACCTCAAGCCTTATTTTTCAATCACTTCTTTAATGAGGTAATGAAAAAGAGAAGAAAAGAAGAAAAAGGACATAAGGAAGAGAAGCAGGAAAAGAGGAAGATGTGGAGGGGGAGAAGAAGAAGAGATGAATCATTTAATCAGTCGTTACAGTTAAAATTTCGGCTCTCCTTGCAACTACGGCCACATATTGGGGGAGTACGCCAGAGTTCAGTCCCCTGGCGCATTGCAATTACGGAGTGGAGAAGAGGGAACGAAACAAATGACATAATTAGTGTGTGCGATAGAAAGTGTGCAGTGCACTCCTGTCATCATAGGGTTAGGGGTTAGGGTTTGGGTTAGGGTTAGGGTTGGGTGGGCCAACACACACTAATTACGTCATTTGTTTCGTTCCCTCTTCTCCAAAATTTCTAGTTATCTTGAGAGGTGAGTGAAGTTCAACTCCACCAGGTGCATAACGAGTTTAACGAGCGACTATCACTCGCAACACCATTCGGATGAGAATCACCAGGGCACAAATCTCTGAAACCCTGTTGAACCGTTAGGTTATATTAGGGCTTCGACAACAGCCAGGATGGGGCTTTAACTCTCTTGAGTCCCAGCGAACGCATCATGCGCTAATTTGTTTCAACCTAGCTGCCCAATCGACGCATGACAAGTCAAGGTTTTTAATCTACCACTGACCGGTTGTAAAATGCGGACAGCTCAATTTCAACTTCCTTCCGAGTTCTTTTTGTCTGATATCAAGCGTGCTCATTTAGAAACATGGGTTGAAAGCCACAAATATAGTAAATTTGCGAGATTCCCGAGTTTAATAAGTGTTTGTTTGAAAAGAATATGGCCGCCAAGCATTATTCTACGTGCATGCCAACATGATTTACGGCTTTAGAAGCCTACAATTTAAATAAAGTATGTGTTTTTTTTTTTTAATTTATCGGAAGTTAGATAGATAACATTGCGAATTAGGTGTGTTTCAGTCATTCATAGAGTCAAGCTTTGATGAGGGATATGTCTAATGTGTACCTCACGCGAAGGGTACAACGATAGCAAAGTCTGCTGGCACAAACAGAATAAACATTAGTGAAAAGACGATTTTCTTCAGTGTCAGTTAGTTCTAGTGCTATTCCCCTTATTATTTAGGAACATAGCTACAAATTTACAGGCAAACTGAGTGTTAGATAAACTTCATTTTGCGTGAAGATACTTATTGTTTTAGTAGTTAGTTTTCTTTACAGGCAATAATAGTGCTCTGTTATGATGCTTCAAAAGATTCTTTGGAACAAAATGTAATGTACAGATTGAGTTTATATTTTACTTATACATTACTAAGTGGTTCATATTCATTTGTGTTTCATTTTGGATGTATTTTAACCAGTTTTCATTGAGTGCCAAGGTAGTAAGTGGAAATTTTTTTATTTCATTTTACTATTTTTTGGGCTATCATCCGAAAAACAGGCACATATTATGGCGGCCAAAAACACATCCTGACAGGGCCTCAGTCACATGTAAATTAAGGACTTCCAGCGACTACCGCCACCGCAGAGAGTATCTCCCACGCCGCTACACGCGGCGTGGAGCA